GCAGATCAGCTGAGAACTGAGGAGGTATTTGCAGATCAGACGATGACTGTTCAGAGCCAAATGTCCGAAGAGCAAAAGAAAGGAACAAAACCATCAAGGTAAGAAAAAGAGCTCTTAACATACAACGCTTCTTAAAATACATATCCTTGTTTGAAGGGGACTGCCGCACAGGTGACTTTGTCTTCAGCGCAGGTTACAGTTCGACTAAATGGTGAGAGGCTGGACTGTTTCATTACATAAGGAAATATGTAAAACAAAGGTATGGAAAACCGAAAAACATTCCTGGAGTATTTTACAGTTTGCAGAATTGTATTCAACTCTACTGAGGCCACTGACAGACCAGATAACACTGATAACATTACCAGGATGACAGGGTTTAAGGCAGTTGTTTCAAGGCATTCAAACGGTGTAAATTAGAAAAGATTTTCTCTTTCCAACAAACAAGTTTAACTTACAGTATATGACCAATTCACTGTTTCACAAGCACGACTTTAATATCAAGTTGAAAAAAACCCATATACATTTACACAAACGTGTACGGTCTGTACTGTTTCACGTGTCTAAGAATTTCCATTATACAGATACAGGCACTTCATAGAATAAATATTCACCTGAAGTCAAAAGAAACATACCAAAGAAAATTACTGCTGCATTCTCTTTTACACATTAACTATTTTAACTTTGACTACGTGTCCGTCTTGATACTGAGCATCCCGAAACATTCCACAATTACTCTGAGCTCTAGATGCATCTAAGTATGACTAAAACGGATGTTCTCATCCACATCCTGGTCTGCATCTGTGTCCTGCTCGTGGATGAAGCTGTAACGCCGATAAACGGATCCACCTTTGCTGGTGTACACCACATCTACCTCATCTCCGCTATCTGGCTCGGGCACGCCGTGGGGCATGTTAATGTTCGCACTACCACTCAGTCTCTCATAGCTTCGTTTCCAACAAAGCCTCTTCCTAGCATGGGCTTTAACCAAGATAAATACAGCCAGACCAAAACCAATTGCCAGCAGCAGAGCAATAGGCAAGGCAGCTGAGGTGTGCTTCAGAGTTCTGGAGGACAAACTCATATCGGTTTCCTGGATGTCTCCTGATTTAGGCTGGGGGGCCTCCACACACAGTGCTAGAAAAAACACAAAATTCCTTTAGTAAACTGTCACATCTAAACAGTTTTCTTTCGCTTAT